TAGAAAAATTAATACGGTCAATACAATAGCTATTTTAGGAAAATCATATTATCTTATAACGGTAAAGAGCGTATATCAGGTTCCTCTTTCTGCTTAGTGGCACGAAGCTTTGAAGCTCTTTCCTCGAGGATTTGGAAGATATGCAATGAGTAAGTGATTGAGGAAGAACTACGTAATCTCCGAAGAATCCTGATGAAAAACGGTTTTCCGCCTAGATTCATAGACAAGAATCTCAAATCGAAGAAGAATCAACGAACAAGTTCAATCCGTCCCAGAGAAAATGCTTCTGCCTAATCTAAAATTCTGATAGGATCCCACATATTTTGGTATTGACTGTTTAAACTTGCATATATGGTATGTTATCATTCTCACGCATTTTGGTAGTGACTGCTAATTTTGTATATTATCATTCTCACGCATTTTGGTAGTGACTGCTAATTTTGTATATTATCATTCTCACGCATTTTGGTAGTGACTGCTAATTTTGTATATTATCATTCTCACGCATTTTGTTACTGACTGTCAATGTCGCACATATGGCATATTATCATTTCTCACACACTTTGTTATTGGCTATTAAGGTCAATTATTTCAAATGCTGTTAGCTGTCCATATTGTTGTAAAATGTATAAATACCATGGCTTTCTTTATCGTTGTTGCACTTCAATACACAGTCACAGTCCAGCCTTTGTCTTTTGATATTTGCGTGCTTTACTAAGTCGGAAGGTACGACAAGCAGATAGACAGATTAGTTCAGGCGCAGACAGAATAAGGTGAAAACGTCTTCATTCAATTCCCCACAGATATAACAAGCAAAAACGACAGTTTTTATTCTGTTCAGCGCAACTATATAACATATAAGTTCAGGCGCAGACAGAGCAAGATATAACAAATTGGCGACGAGGTTTACCTAAATTCATTGCAGTTATAGCACGCAAACGACGACAGTTTTTATTCTGTTCAGCGCAACTATATAACATTTTTGACTGTGTAAATTACAACCCAATTATAATGTCTATCTCTGTGGACGATCTTCCGGTGACTGCAGTTGAGGTTGCCAGACACACACTGCGTGATCCAGTTTTACAGCAAGTATCAAAGTTCATCCGATTTGGCTGGCCTCCACATGTTCATTCAAATGTTTTGAAACAGTTTTACCAGCGACGCCAATCCCTATCCATCGTTAATGGATGCATAATGTTTGCTGATCGTGTTGTCGTTCCAGCTAATCTTCGTGACCATGTGCTTCGGCAGCTTCATATATCACATCCTGGTGTTGGGAGAATGAAGGCGATCGCTCGCAGTTATGTTTACTGGCCCAACATCGATGACCATATCGAAGACCTCGTTCGCAAGTGTAGTAAATGTGCTCAAGCATCAAAGTGTCCACGCAAGACAGAACTATGTTCCTGGCCACGACCGGACAAACCATGGTCCCGTGTTCATGTTGACTTCGCTGGACCGTTCAATAGTATGCATTTCTTAATATGTGTCGACGCGTTTTCCAAATGGCCAGAGATATTTCCTATGCATTCTGCCACATCAATTGCAACAGTGTCCCTCCTACGTCAACTATTACTGAACGTTTCGTCGACACCTTTAAGCGTGCTTATGCAAAAGCGAAGTGGAAGGGAACAACAGAAAAAAATTTTGGATAAATTCTTGCTGCATTATCGTACGAATGAAAAAGGACAGTTATGTGGCAGACACACAGATCACGCTCTATCCAGTACCACGCAAAGGTCAACTCGACAAAGAAGAGCTCCGAAACCTTTTCAAATAGATCCAAAAAGCAAGTCCTACACTCTTTACGGGGGGAGGTGATAGGATCCCACATATTTTGGTATTGACTGTTTAAACTTGCATATATGGTATGTTATCATTCTCACGCATTTTGGTAGTGACTGCTAATTTTGTATATTATCATTCTCACGCATTTTGTTTTTTTTTTTTTTTTTTTTTTTTTTTTTTTTTTTTTTTTTTTTTTTTTTTTACTGACTGTCAATGTCGCACATATGGCATATTATCATTTCTCACACACTTTGTTATTGGCTATTAAGGTCAATTATTTCAAATGCTGTTAGCTGTCCATATTGTTGTAAAATGTATAAATACCATGGCTTTCTTTATCGTTGTTGCACTTCAATACACAGTCACAGTCCAGCCTTTGTCTTTTGATATTTGCGTGCTTTACTAAGTCGGAAGGTACGACAAGCAGATAGACAGATTAGTTCAGGCGCAGACAGAATAAGGTGAAAACGTCTATCATTCAATCTCCCCACAGTTATAACAAATTCAAAGGTGATATTGAAGCACAAATCCTTCGCACACGCCTCTCCAAATCGCTGAGGAAAACATACTTCGCCGCGAGCCTATGACTAACGTTTTCCTGCAAGAAACTAACTGTTCAGCCAGAACGCGAAAGGCAAGCTGCCGAATTGGGCCACTTCAGCGTGCATATACGAGTTTGTGTGCTCTCTGGGGGAGCTGGGTACATAAGCCGTACTTGAAAGACGCGCTCGTCAACACTATCCAGCCTGGCTAGTAAAGGCAGAACGAAAACGTTTGAATATAGTTCAGTGACAGAACATCTGGTCAGTTCAGGACATTCAGCGCCATTCAAAAAATCCTTCAAAATAATATACAAGATTCGATCAAACTTATCAAAGGGAGTGAAATTAAGACATCTGGGCATAGCCAAGTCACTAGCTATCCAAAAGTTCAAACCCACGCTTTCTATCCAAAAGAAATACGTTCAACCCTTGTCCCTGCCTTGTCATGGCCATCATAAACAGGTAATTCTTCCAATAGTGACTACCCCATTGATTTTCTTATCCAAACTTCCTGTTTATTCATGTTATTTTTAAGTTTTTCTTAATCTCTGTTTTCACTACCATATTTTCATACCCGAACTTCGTGTTTATTTATTCATTTTATTATTTCTACATATTTAATCCCTGATTGCATAAACAATTATTCATCACATTAGTTTTTATCCAAACATCCTGTCTATCTATTGTTGTTATTTCTACATTTCTAACCGCCAATTGCACAATCAATGTCAGTCTTCTTAGTTATTATGATGCTACTTTGCTTGAATTTTATCCGTCTCCATAAATATTACGTTTTCCTTAATCAAAAGTCCCGTTTTCATGTGACTTCTACGTTGAAGATCGTTTTTCGTTGATTGGTAGTGGTTAGTGAGTGGTGCTAAAAGTTTAACTTTGCCGGAGTGTTTTTTTTGAAAGAAAGGAACACATAGTTGAGTGTCCACTTGATAAATGTATGAAAAATACAAGAACAGGCTAACAACAGTTTTCTAGTGAAATCCACCAGTGAATGTGTAGGAGTGATACTACTAAATTGCTTACTAAAGATAGTAGCAAACGTGTAGAAGCAGTAATTATTATTATTATTATCATTCTTATTTCTATTGTGTATCGGGAATTATTATTAATATTATTACGTAATTTCTTTTCCAATTTTAGAAACCATAGGTTTGTGAATCAACTTTATCATACTCCCTCTTGTACTCAAAAATTGGAGAGCTGTGTGTGTGTGTGTGCGTTTTATTAAGTAGAATTATGATTGATTGTAGGGCGTTTGCAGGTGATCGAGTACATCGATGAAGAAGCCTTCTCTCCACCCCCTCTATGATTTGTGTTCTTCATTTTCTTCATAACTCAATGGATATCTCATGAGTTTATTTAAAGAATCAGTATCCAGGAAGACAAATCAGCGGCAAAAAAGACTCGTTATCGTCAAACAGATGGTGTAGCTATGATGGGCAGTCCACTTAGTCCTGAAGGTTGAAGCATGCAATCGACGAAACAACTTCCTACTGTCGATATGTCACAGCTGACACATTTGTAGTGTGTGTGTGTGTGTGTGTGTGTGTGCAACAATCAAAGTCATGCTTCACACTTACTCAGATTATTCAATGATGCACACAACAATATTGAGTTTACTATGGAAAATGAAAGTTCCACGGAAAGTTCCACTTCCTCGACATTGCCATGTAACGCCTAGAAAACGGTAGTTAGTCTTCAGAAGTCAATTTATCGAAAGCCTACATGGACACGACAATACTTACATTTTAATAGCTTTTGTCTCAATAGCTTTAAACGAGGACTAGTCAGGACTGTGTACAATATGGAGTGAGGAGAATATGCTTTACAGAGAAATTTGAGGAAGAATTTGAGTTTCTTGAAAGGATATTGAAGAGCAATGGTTACCCTCAAAGATTGATTAACAAGTATGGAAGATCTGAAGTCACAAATGTAAAACAAATCACAGTCCGGGTAAAAAGCCTAACTACATTCAGCTTGCAGCAGTGGTCAACAGAAGTCTGAGTACGTCACTAGCCACAGCCTATCCTACAGCTAAGCTCCTTCCCATCTATTGAACAACTTGCTATCCTTTGGTGCAATCAAAAATCGGTAGATAAACTTCTCATGTTAACAACTCCAAGTATATATACAAATTTACATGTATCCTCAGGAGCAGTTAAATTGGAAGAACGGAAAGCAGAAGGGCATATCTATGATTTTATGAACATGTACCAAAAAGGTTAAGTCTACAGCTGAGAACAAATGCTTTAAACAGTGCCATCCATCGCCGAGCATCAACTTGACACGATTCGGTCATGAGATGGACGTCAAAAAGAGGTTCGAAATTATCCAAAGGCAAAAGAGCTCAATTCGCCTCAAGTTTGCTGAAGCCATCTCCGTCCATCAAGCGGCTGAAACCTGATTTGTGCATCCAGAAAGAAGCGGTTATCAGTCTTTCTTTGCCCTGCCTGGTAACTGGAACTGGATATTTTCATCTGTCTTTCATCTGAATACGTAATGCTGAAACGTTTCCGTTGTGTATGATTAGTATTATTGTTCGGAATAGTGTTTAATATTACATATATATATATATATATATATATATATATTACTGTATGCATATATTGATCGATTGATTGATTTGTTTTGTTTAAAATGAACTCATTGCAGGTATGTTAAAATTGTTTATGTAGACATATTTAATAATGTCTTTGGCCTGTAAGCAGCTGACGAGAAGGCGGTGAAATAAAAGACGGTCACACTTTATTCTGCTAAAACTGTAGTTTTTTTTCAAATAACTGATAACTGAATGAAGGAATGTACATCATAAATTCTTGAAATCACCATATCCTTTTTTTATGTTACTGCTGTTTTTGTCAACAGTTTTTTCTTTTTCAATTCACTGACTTAATCATTCTTTCTTACACCTTGTTAATAATTTCATGTTAGATTATACTTTTGTTTCCAATCTCTTTTTTTTGAATGACTTATGACTCCGCTATATCATATCATAGTTTCTGCTGTGTTCAGTATCACCGAGAGATATTTTTTATGTGCTTCTGTTTTGCTTGAATAAAGGAAAAATATAACTAATTCATTATTTAACGGGACCACGACCATTGTTGTCGCTTGGACATCCATCCTCACTTGTGACATCTGGATGGACCCCACTGGTAGCTGAATGGTATACAAACCATCTAAGCTCGCCTTGTAACCGAAAGGTCCTGGGTTCGAGCCCTAACTGTGTTGTTGGTGTGTACTGACGATGATTCCCAAAAGTAGGCTTGCTGATGAAACAGCTGACTGTTCAGTACTCCCTATGACTGGGTTTCAATGCTTCTCTAACTCATTGATATCAATCCGTGATCAACTCGTAGAAAAAAACACAAAGCTAACCCTTACAAACCAAACTATCGAAAATATAACTACCCTTTAATTTAAAATTTGATTAATACTGACCAATTCACGAATCATTTTGAAAACAAGGGATTGAACCCATTAATTTTTGAATAGTCAGCGATTTATCTATTGTTGACAGGGTGAAAATCTAATAACTAACTTGTGAGAGATAATTCGAGTTAATCCGCAAAGAATGTCATCGTGACAACTGATTTCGAAAGATGATTTTTGAGCCAAGGTGAAGTTCGGTCATTTTTGAATTCCGATCTCATGAAGATGACCAGTAAAAATGAGATTGGTCAAAATGTTTAAGTGATGGAGCACAAAAACTAGGTATTACCAAGGAAAATCAAAGACAGGAAGTGAGATATATAAAAAATTAAAAAAAATGACGGAAACAAAGGGAACATACCAAGCTAGGTCCATGGTAGTTGTAGAGGTTGGACTAACTTCTTTTGAACACACAGCTCCGGCTTCTCAATGCATATTGCGAGGGCTTCTGCAGTATAAAGAAGTCGGAAACATATTGCTCTTGGTAGGTTTCTGTTGACTTTGTGAATCAATATGAAACAATCGGTTGAGATTTTGTGGTAGGTGTTGACCAGATGTTCAATAATGGCACTTCTGATTGAACCGGTGCCTCCTCTTTCCAGCCACACCGCGTAGTGTCCTCTAACACGTTTTGAAAGGACGCGAATACAACGACCTATGTACCTACCTCTGCACGAGCCAGTGAACTGGTATATGCACATTGAATTGGTCATATGCGAAAGTTTGTCCTTCGTGTTGTTTAGAAGTATTGGATGGCTAGAGAATGTCACTCTTAGTGTTGCTGCAGGGAAGGTCTTCTTTAAAGAGCTCAATATTCTCCTCTTCAGGATATCAGCTACCAAATCTCCCTTGAAATTTAGATTTAGATACAGCGTTTTTTTTGGCGCCGAATCGCATTCTTCTCTTTTAGGTTTAGGTTTCATGTTCTTTTCTACAAAACGTGTCGGGTAGCCATTTTGAGCCAGGATATTTTTGAGGAATAGGAGCTCCTCTTCCATGCAATCGTTACTGCAGATTTTTTTAACGCGATGGGTTAGTGCACTGATGAGGGCTCGTTTTCGGCTCAGAGGTATCCAACTATAGAAATGCGTTAGTTGGCCATTCCATGTCGGTTTTCTGTGGATGGACCTCCTCAGGGTTCCATCATCTCTTCTTGTCAATTCCACGTCCAGAAATGGAATCCTTGAATCACTTTCTAACTCCATTGTGAATTTAATCGAAGTATGGGAATTATTGAATTCTTATAAGATGCACTTGACGTCCGAGTTCTCGTAGCAGACTATAAAGGTATCGTCGACGTACCTTTTGTATAGTATTAATTTGTTTATTGTTGATTTTAAAACTCCACTCTCCAAACTGGCCATAAAGCAGTCTGCTAAAAGCGGGCCAAGAGGAGATCCCATTGCAATTCCATCTTTCTGTCTGTAGATGTCGCCGTTGAAGGTGAATTGTACATTCAGCGTGCATCTCAGCAACAATTCCTTCAGATATGATATTGGTACTCCGACGTTTATATTATATTTCTCCATATAAGTGCACAGAAAGCAAATTGTTTCTGTTAGTGGCACGTCGGTAAAAGGAGATTCAACATCTAGTGATAACATTCGTTTATCATTTACATTCAAATCTTTTATGCATTCAATAAACTCAAAAGTATCACGAAGAGAGTATTTGCATAGGTGTTGTCTTACCGGCTCCAACATTTCGGACAACCATTTGGCGATTGGATGGTATGGTGACACTGACATGTCTAGAATCGGTCGAAGCGGCAAGCCAGGTTTGTGCAACTTTGGTAAGCCGTAGAGTCGAAGAATAGTTGATCCTGTCGTTTTGAGGCGGTCGAACAGGTCCTCGGGTATCAGACGGTCGTTCTTCATTCTTCTGAGAACATCTGTTAGTTGTCTTTCAATCAGTTCTGTTTTGTTTTTCTCATTGTCGGGCTTGGCGAATTTCTTGTCATCTGATATAAGTGTTGTCAGTTTGTTAAGAATATACATCTCTGCCATTAGGACCACTCCTTATCCTTTGTCAGGACGTGTTGTTATTAAATCTTTATTGTCTCTTAATTCTTTGAGTTGTTTTCTATGTTCTATGAACGTTTCTATGTACGTATGAAGTCTGTTGCTGTTGAGATTAACATCACAGAACTTTTGGTCCAAGAGACAAAGCTTCTAGTTGTACCTTTGATAACGGAACTGAAGAGTGATTGAAAACAAATTTATTAGGATCGCTGGGGAATTTATTCTGGACTTCCACGGGCTTCAAGCTTTTGTTTAGTTCTGATTTAACATATTCCGCTGTTCTGTTCTGCACCAGAGTAAGGTATTCATTGAACGATTGTCTCTCATCTGATGATAATTCACAAAGAGCGGTAGATCGCTTTGATATGTTTCTTTGCAATTCGAATATACGTGAACTTAAAGAATCGATGACATTTCTGGTGTGACGTTGAAGAGTTGAAAGGAAGTTAGTCCAACCTCTACAACTACCATGGACATATAAAAAAAGCCTGGAACCTAATAATTACCCTGATAAATTAATCAGGAAATATTTAGGGAAATGTAAAAATAAAATAAATAATGATAGTAGCGATATTGATAATAATAATAATATTTATGACGACATGCATGTCAAATATGCGCCGGATAATGACAACACCAACAATAAGGAATCTAAATCATCATCAGTAGTAATTCCATTCAAGGTAGGAACCTCGAAAACTACCTTACGCAGAATTCCTAACAAGCGGGGCAGGAATAAAATTGGCTGAAATTCAAACCCTTCCCACAAACTCAATTGGAAACAAGCTTTGTCCGTTATGGGATCAATCCTGTGTAGCCTTTAAAACAAAACAATTCAGTTTATCTAATACCCTGCCTGACTGTAATGATTATCAGGTCAAATACATAGATCAAACCCGTAGAACAGGGGCAGACAGTCAGACTAGCCGAGCAGATAAACCTAGCAGCATAATCTAGATTGGTTGACCCGAATAAGATTATAAATCTAGAGAATAGTTCAGCCGTAGGCAGCACTCACTAGATGCAATTATACACAACCATACAATGTAGGAGAATGGGATAGGACGACAGTTTTAAAATCTAATGTCACAGCTGGGTGTGGGGAGGGAGAGATTGATAACAACGGAAGCTTTGTTTATCGAATCAACTGCAAATACGTGCCTGCATTAGGAATGGTTCAACACCTGTCCACTCAGATATCTGGAAAATTCCACTACCACAATGATGACGACAAATAGGAGAGTACAAAGAAAACTATAAAACTCAAGTTTCGAAGTCCTGTGATTATAATCGATGAAATGATTATGAACAATAAGAAATTTTGTTCGAAACTTTGTCATCCAGTAAGTAATACTATTACTGTTTCACTGACTGTGTAATGCATCTAATAAACAAACTAATATGGAATTACTTACTTACGCCACAGTGGTCAAGTTTTACACATATGTAAACATGGTTTCCTCTTGGAATTGAGTCAATGATGAGTTTGGATGGATTATCTTTCATGGTTTTGTCAATAAATCGATTTTTTTTTACAGCAACTGTTTTCTGCAGACATGTGACTTTTAGGAGAGGAAGTTTCACATCAACGCTGGTCAGAAGTATACATATTACCTAACCTATGCAATATAATACAACGGATGAATGAAGTTTCCTCTTTTCTTTTGAGAATTTTTTAATAATCAAAATACTTTCACTCGAGTATGGGTGTGAAATGAGAATTTTTGATTGAAACATAATTGATCTGAGGGCGAATTTTTACCGTCTATCAGTTTTCAGAACTGAATTTTTGTACAGTTTATCGTGTGATCATTGTTCACTGCCTCAAATGCTTCTTTTCCTATCTGCATTTACCACGTGCTGACTCTCGAATTTAACGAAAAATATTGAAGTACCGGATAGCTGTTTCCCCCGTCCGACTAGTTTGGTACCGGTTATTCTGCAGTGTGCACCCACCCTACTGACAGAATTCGAACCGAGGGCATTCTGGTTACAGGGCCAGTTCATTAAACTTTTTAGCCATTGGGACCCAATCCAATGGTCTTTGAATTCTAACTTCTGTAAATTCACGACATAGCGCGACCATTTCGCAATGTCTTCCTCGACGAGTGATTTATTGCCTCATCTTCGTCTCATCAGGCAGGATCAGAAGCCTACATAGAAAACTATCTGGTCTCACTATCAAGTACAAAAACAAATCAACCGTACCCTACTTGGCTCGTGTTCTGTGTGATAAATGAGAAAGCATTAG